AAGTTGCTTGAATAGCCCCCCCAACCAATTTTAGTTATATCAAAAAATGTATTTATATTCTGTAAATTTTAACTAGTGTAATAACTTCAGTTGTAGCCAATACAATAATATTTCAAGAAATCTTAGATGGCCGCACTGAAATAGATAAGAAACCGTGATTTTTATCACCAGATTCCACGACTGCATAGCCGTGACTGCATAGTTCGTGGTGACTGCTACCATAGACCTAGTAAAAGGTCTATGACTGCTACCGAAAAATTCTATATCTCTTATCTATCATATAATATTAATTGGTTAAGCGCGAAATTGGCATGGTGATAATACTGATAAAATGATAAGAAGAGAACTATTATCATATTAAATTTTAAATAACGAACACTTAACAGTTGAAGTTGAAATGAGACACGTCTAGTTCAAACCTTTTGAATAGCTTCATTGTCTTCATTGTCGCATATTTACAAAATTACAATGTAAGTACTAGTTTTTACATTTAATATATTTATGTTTATAATAATAATAATATAAGTTAGTATGGTTACTGCATTTGTATTACTTAAAAAGTAATAATATTATAATTAGTATATGTATATTTGTTTGATTAGGTTAAAAACTTGGCTTAAACGTTCAGATCAACCAAGTGTACTTATTCCTAATAATAATGAAGATGAACCAGATGATCCAGATGATCCAGATAATGATGGTAACAAAATATGTTAAATTTTAATAATTCTTACTATAATTATATATGCTCTAATTAAGTCACCATCACTTATCACATGAGTTAATTGTTTTATAATTATTTTATTTAGTTACGAGCAACAATGGTGACATTGAGTTTGAACTTGCTGATAAAGACAGTCAACCACATCAACCTTTACTTGTGTCATTTCCAAAAAAACTATTTGGTAAGCAAAACCGTTCATTTTCATCTAAATACTACAAAGATTATACATGGATAGAATACAGCCAAAACAAAGATTTAGTCTTCTGTTTTTATTGCCGTAACTTTGGTACTAGCTCAAATTCTGAAGAAGTTTTCACTAAAAGTGGTTTTAAAGATTGGAAAAAAATTTCAGAAAAATTAAATAAGCATAGCAAGAGTTCATATCATCTTTTTAGTTTGGCAAAATACAAAGATTATCAGAATACTAAAAAAACTGGTAATGTACATGTACAAATGTCTAATGCTTACAAAGAAGAAGTCGAAAAGAATCGTAAATACATGCTTATGATAATTGATGCAGTCTTATTTTTAGCACATCAGGGCTTAAGCTTCAGAGGTCATACTGAAAACAAAGAATCCCTTAATCAAGGTAATTTCAAAGAAATATGTGGTATGTTAGCAACTTATAATCCATCATTTGCTAGTAAAATGGAAACATCATATTTTAATTACACATGTCCTTTAGTTCAAAATGATGTAATAAGTATAACAGCTGGTTTGGTGAGGTCACAAATAGTACAAGAAATAACAGAATGTGGAATGTATGCTTTAATGTGCGATGAAGCCAGGTCATTCAAAGAAGAACAACTTACTATCTGTGTAAGATACACAAAACATATGGTGGTTCAAGAACGGTTTTTGTCTTTTGTTTTATGCTCTACATCAAGATCTGCAGCTGGTATTTCAAATACCATACTTGAAAGTTTAAAAACTCTAAATATTGATCAAGTGCCTATGATAGGTCAATCGTACGATGGCGCTAGTGTAATGGCAGGCCATATAAACGGAGTTCAAAAAAAAATTAGAGAATTTCATCCAGAAGCAATTTTTTTCCATTGTGTTGCACATAAACTAAATTTAGTTATAGTAGGAATGTGTAAACATGTAAAAAGCTCAGTTTTATTTTTTAATACACTAGAGTCCTTGTATATTCATTTTTCTAGACCATCTTCTCATCACAAACTAATAAATATACAAAAACAATTAGGCATTAAACCAAGAGAAATTATGCAGATAAGTGATACAAGGTGGGCATGTCGTTTTGAAAATTGTGATATGGTAAAACAATATTATGGTTCTATTTTAGAAGTTTTAGATACTGAAGTTGAAGAAAATAATGATTTTAACTGTGTTGAGGCTAGTGGAATCTTAAATAACCTAAAAAAGGGTCATTTTGTTGTTAACCTTTTCATTTTTCATGAAGTACTGAAGTATATAAACATTTTGAGCAATAATCTCCAAAGTAAGTCTATGACTTTGGGTAAAGCTTTGGATATCATAAAAAGTGTTACTAAGACATTAGAGGACAAACGAAACGAACAATCATTTCAATGTTTGTGGGATGCATTGACAGAATTTTCTGAAAATTTTGAAATTAGTCTAGATACTCCATCCAATTCAAAAAAAAAAAGAAAAGTTTTTGAAAATTCTTTACTTAAGGATAGTATTGTTACATCTACAGTAGGAACAGATAATTTTGAAGAACAAAGTAAAACACCAGAAGCACATTGGAGAAGTCACTCATATTATGAGATTCTAGATAGCATAATTCAAGGTACGCTACGCACAAGGTGTAGGTGTCAGAACTTTTGGTATGTTTATAAGTAAGGTATAAACTACTCACATACCAAAATTCAGCTTTCGGCAATTTTTTTTTAATAGATTGTAATTAAATTTCTGATTTTTGTATTTTGTAATTGTCAACAAATTGTTCAATTATATCGCCACTACTGATATAAAAAACACTATTACTTACGGCAATTGAAATTTTTAAAATAATTTAACGTTATATTATGTAAAATTATCTGCTCGTTAACTTTTGTCATAGGTCATTTCAGCGTATCACTGACGGTTTTTGCTCAAACACAATAAAAAAAAGATAAACAATTTTTATTTTTTATATTTTTTTAAAGTATAACACTTATCGGAACATATATATACAAAAAGTACATAAAGCCTATGGTAAATTGTATGGTCTTTAATTTTGGTTATAGGTATTTTTATTGTAAATTGAAAAGCTGACGAGTTATAAGCGAAAATAGTGAAAGGGGCGCGCCACCCTTTGAAGAGGGGTGGAGAGCTACGCACAGGGGGTAGGTGTCAGGACTTTTAGTATGTTCATCAGTGAGGTATAAACTAAAAAAAAAATCAAAATCCTGCTTTCGTGGAATTAGTTCCGAACTTTTTTCTAATTTGACTGGACTAATAGTAATACTAATACTAATAGTAATCAAATCCAATTTGATGGATAATTCTTACCATTAGATGCACATTGTTCTTTATATAAATCATACATTTTTTGAATGTTTAAATTAGGCGACAAATATAGTAAGCTAGTGTTTTTCTCGAATAATGGCTCTCATATGCAGGAAAACTTTTGATATGTAAAAGAATGTTTGCTCTCTCTTCTTGTAAAAAATTGTGTGATTTGTGAGTACCTGTACCTGATTTAGGTGATATTCCTGTGATTGAAACTTTTTTTTTGTATCATTACATAAACTCTTCCACGCCCTATTCCATAAACATTTTGAAACATTTTCTTACAAACTACCAATATTTTACCATTTACTTGAAGATGATATTTCACTGTAATAAAATCTATCATGTTATCATGTGTAGTTTGTGTTGGTGATTTTCTGTTAAAAGTAGGTGTTCTTTTTTTATCTTCTATTTGAATAGCATCCATTAAAATTTGATCTTGTGCTGACAAGTTATCTAATTTGTAAAATTCCTTAAAAATTAATTGTTGTATTTTTTCAGAACAAAGTAATGTAGAACAATTTTTTTTACAACATGTTGTTTTGAGAGGCTTAAAAACTTTCATAGTTTTAATTTGACCCTTTCGATCTTCATACTCTTCTCCGAGTTGCTTACGGTTATTCATACATTTCTGTTTACTTCCTGTGTACCTCTGTTTATTTTTTGTCATAACATCAATATTTTTATTGGTAGTATTACAGTGTATAATAATATTTTCGTTATCAAGAAGCAGCACATTATCTTGTGACATTACATTGCTACAGCTAGGAATAAGCTGAACACTACTTGCTTTTTCAGTTTCATTTAGCATTGGCTGATTACTTTTACTACATGTGCTATCTATTAGTAAAAAAAAAATATTTGTGAATAATACTTTAGTTGTGACCCATGGCTGTAGAGTTCTTATATGTAAATGTTTTAATAAATTGTTGTGTCTGTACCCATGGTATATAAATTAAACTGGTTGTGATTTTTGTTGATGGTACATTTATTAATTAAAATTCAAAAACATTAATTTCATAACTCTTAAAAACAATTTATAAATCCTTTTACATATTTTATGAAATACAATCGTTTCTAGAGCACACTAAATTGTATATTTTATACAAAATTATTTTATAAATATCTAATAGTTTTAGAAACAAGATATAAATATTACATTGTGCTTTCGCAAATGTCAGATCTTTATTAAATAAATAAAAAAATTTTCTAAGACAATAATATTACCAGGCAAATCATTGTATAAAAGACGTCTTCGACAAACTACATCTTGTTTGTCAATATTTTCACATACATTTTTCATAGTATTAATAATATAGTATTACTATGGTCGTCTCTAAGTAAAGTACCTACAATATAATTAATATACAAGAGATTTTTATAAAATATAGTTTTTATAACACTATATAATACATTTAAAAATAACTGAATCCTATGACCAATTTAATATGTTATAATATTTACCAATTATTAAATCATAACATTATATCATAATAACGTAATAATAATTATGTACAAATAAAATCGATGGTAATACTTTTTTAGCATGAATAAAATAATTTTGCTATTCATTATTAAATAATACTAGTTTGGTATTATTCCGGAGACGTGATTCTTTATAAAATTGTTTACCTTCATGATGTAGTCGAATATTAAGGTAGAATGTAATTATTACATTTATAATTTGATCTCTGTGATTATTAAATTGTTGCTGACAGATTATATGTTTTATATGTTGATACATTTCTTTATTTTTGAAAACAACTTCATATAATGCTCTTTTTACTTTATTTTTCAAAAATTGTACTACATTTTTTTGTTTGAATACAATTTCTTGATGCTGCCTGATACATTTTTCAGTTTCTGTGCACAGTATCTCAACATCTTTAGATGGTTTTATTAAGGAACCTCGGTGTTTTATGTTTATTAAATAATTATCTGTGTCACTATTTTTTATACAACTACTACATACTAAACAGTTAATTTTTTTTTTTGTAATTTTCTTACAATAAATCATCCAATATAAACTGAAACATCTTCCATATATCTATATATTTATATCTATTGAGTTTCCATACAGTTTTAATGTAGTCATGGTCTGTTTGTTGACTTACATCCATTTCACTCGAAATGTCTTGTGTAACATCAGTATCTGTAATTAAGTCAGTTCCATTATCCAACGGTAAAATTATGGTCGCATCTAAAATTGCTCAGTTTACATATTCTGATGATGAACCAACAGTCTTTTATACCCAGTCTTAAATTGTTGACAATCAGGATTATTATTAAATCCAAACATGTTACGCATGGCACTAAAATAATTTTCCAAATGGTCTTGGCTAATTTTGTAAGTTAGTAAATATTTCAATGAATGATTATAATGCAAATACTTAAATAAATTGATTGCACTTTCCAAACTCAAAATTTAGCCAACAAATCCAGTATTTCTGTTTGAATAAACTATTTTCTGTCCATTACAAAATGTTAAACCACCAATATAGTTTTTGAATCTTTTTGAAAACTCTTCATATTTATTTATTGTATTCAAATTTATTGATATGTTGAAGGGACTTTTACTAAACTGATTACGGCTGTTCAATATATCAAAAGCTTGGTTAATCATCATATACAATTCTGTTGTTGCTGATGCTTCTCCAAAATTGGGTTGATCAATTTCCTTACAATAAATTAATGCCTTACTCACACTCTCACTTAATATTTGTACTGCCAGTCTTACATTCATTTTTTCATTTCTATAATTTAAATGTCATTTTGTCAATTTTGTTCCTGCACGAAGTCCTTCGGTGTATTGTTTTTCAAATAATTTTTCAATAAAAACCCATTTACCTTCGTTATTTTTAAAAACTTGTTCGTCTCCAAAAGTATTCCTGACTAATTTGACCATATGACATGGATCAAGAAATAAGAAAATTGGTTCGTTGTTAATTACATTTGTTATGGAAGAAGTTAAAGATTCATATTTAAAAGAAGCATTCAATTTTGTAAACATAGTAGCATTTACATAGGCTCCATCAAATGTCAAAGAATTTAAATGAGCTCCTGTTTCATTAAACAACTCTAAGCATTTGGTTAGAAGATTAGATCGTTCTTCTCCATTTAAGCCAGCTATAAGTATAAATATCCTAAGGAAACTTTCCAGTAGGTACCCATTTAATGAAACAGCTAAAAAAACAAGTGAATTTTTGGCTTGTGGTATGTTATCATTGTCATAGTTAAAATCTGTTCCCATATCTACAAAACCATACCATTTTTTAACATTCCAATGTATTCCAGAATGTATAGTCATTTCATCTATGACCAAATTACAAATAACTGTTGAATTTTGAGATTTTGCTTTAATTGCAGAAAAAGCTTCTTGAGTAAAACCTTGTCTTCCATTAATTACTTGATACAGGCGAGAAATTGTTCTAGGACTATACTTCACTTTTTTCCCTAATAATTTTCTTTTGATTACATCAGTTAAAGAATCAGTACTAAATTAATAAATACATTTATATCAACCATATATTAACGAATAAAATTTGTTCAGTAGACAAAATACAATACAAGTTGCTAGGTAAGTTACAAATTTAACTACTCAGTGTGCAAATTCTAATACATCAAGTCAATGAAAAATAAACAAGTTTTAGACACTTTTAGACACGGTTGTTGTGTGCGTAATCTCAAAGGCTCAAAAAGCCGTAAGCTTTAGAGACAAATCAACAAGTACCAAATTGAACTGTAGAATTATGTTTATTTAGCAGAAAATATAGTAATAGTATAATAGCGTGTGAGCGTGTGACGAGAAGTTGCTCAGGTCTCCGTGGCTATGATACATCTGCTCAGGCTGTCCCACGGGCTCCCTTATAAGTGATGGCGGTTCCTTTGATTGTAGCGGCGCGTGCAGCTTGTATGTGTGTGTGTTTCGGTTGTTGTTGTCAATTCTTAGAATAACAACTCGTGTCCATGATTTCTAATCGTGTACCTGTCCAGTGATTTATGGATAGGGGCGAATAGTACATGTTCTATATTATATTGTTGCGATATTTATGTTAATTATATATATTTAGTTTAAGGCCATAATAACATTATGATATATTATATTATATTATATACAATGTTATATACTATGTTATTATATATCGAATAGTGGCGCCTAGAGTCTCAAGGCCCGCAACACCTCCCCGCGAAAAAAAAGGTTTATGTCTGCAAGACAGAAATCTTTACAATTGTTTTCTTAGCTATTGCTATTGTCACAGTACATAATATTTTCATTACAGTTGAGAAATTAGTTAAAATGTGGTACAGATTATTATTTCATTTACATTTTTTTTTTGCCATTTACAATAGGTTCCATAGTTCACATTTTAAATAAGTAATTGTGTTAGTGTTTGTATATAATATAAATGATATTTTTCTCTTATAAAATAATGATTATAACAATATTAATAATAATAAGTGTTAGTTTCCCTTGTATAAATAATGTTTTAAAATCCTTCACCAATTTATGTGAATACCATATTCAACATTGTTACACTTGTATGCTTAATAATATAAATATTTCTTTTTTTTTTTTAATTTAAATTTATTTTGGGTAATCAAGTATGTATCTA